TATGACATTAAGCTCTTAGGACACATTTTTTTTTATTTTCAGAACAATGGGCATTGAAAGTACAAATTTATTCAAAATATTTCATCACAGCACAGTTGTAAATGATAATTGGAGATCACATAGTATAGAGTGTGGGCATGTTAGTTAGTGATATAGTCAATGATAATATAGTTAATCTAAACATGTTGTAAATTTCAAAATTGTGAAGGCTACTCTAAAAAGGTCTCTCCTCTAAAAGCGATGCAGCTCTGAGTTTATATATATGCTAATGATCTTCATTATGGTACTCATTTCACAGCATATACAGTGTATCAAACTACTATACTGCTTATCAAGGTTATATCTAAATATATGTATATATGTACATATTGTATCTCAATAAAACAAACTGGGAGAAAAAAATACAGATGAAGTGATTACTTTTCTTTATGCTATACGAAAAAGATCTGCTTAAGCTAGAAAATTATAGGTTGCACCTCGAACTTAATTCTTTCTTCATAAAGAGATAAAACTGATCATTTGTCTCTTGAAACCCATCCAAAACCCAAAAAGTTAGTTATTGTGACAGCTGAAGAAGTTCCGCCATGGGGAAGTACTTAGCATCCCAACAGTGTCTACATGATCACAGCTGCTGCATCATCCAGGGTCCCTCTACTAGGTGATTCCCACACTTAGAATCCACGTCCATTTGCCTGCGTGGTTGCCCAAACTGAGAAAATCTCATCTGCTCACATTCACTAATGGAGACATGTTGCAGGATCCCACCTGGGTTCCATCCCCAACTTAGCCCCCAAATAACACTTGAGACACTATATTAATTATGAAGCTCTAGGCTGTTTATTATGGTTTCTTATCAGCTAGCTCTGACTTAATTATTAACCCATAATTACTAATATATATCTCTATAGCATCTTAGCGAGAACAACAGACTATCGTTCTCTCCTCCCGGGATCACATGGCGACTCCTACCCTTGACTACATTTCCCAGAATCCTCCTTCTCTCCTAGTCCTGCCTTCCTTGCTTCCCTATTGGCCAACAGTGTCTTATTCATTAACCAATAAGAGAGACACATACACAGAAGGACTTCCCCCATCAGAGATACAGTGCCAAGTCAGCCCTCCACTGGGCAGGCCATCTTGGTAGTACAATTACCCTGTACTATCCAGTCAGGGCAAGTTCCATATGCAGCATCTTCCAGTTGGGAATGAATTCCAGGTGCTTACATTACCAGCTTTTCTGAGTGTGGTTGTCTCGTTGCCTTCCCTCTCTGAGTCCCTTCCTTACTGCTTTTTAAATATGTTTGCTGGACCAAGCTGCACACAGATTTTGCTGAAAATCCTTGCATAGCCACTTTGAACCAGTTGCTTAAAATCTCTGAGCCCTATTTTCCTTGTCTTCCTAATATAGATGACAATTCCTCAACTGCAGTCACTAGAGGATTAATGGGTCAAAAACTGGTCTCTTCTCCAGGGTTGCCATGCATCCTCGCTATGAAAACGGCACAATCTAAGCATGGTCCAGAACTCTAGCAGTGGCAGATGAAAAATTAACCACTTGCTAAACAATTAAAAGAAAACCCTACTCTGCCTTATTCTTGCTTCTAGTTGAATTCTAGTCATTACTGAAGGGACTCGTGTTGGCTCAAGACACCCCAAGACAAAGGTCTCAGCACAAAGGAATTTCATTTTCCCCAGCCAGACAAAGGGCAGGGAATAAGAGACAAAGACAGGAGACAGAGGAGGAGTGAGAAGGGAAGGGAACCAGGCAGGGGGAAGGGAAGGACTGTCTCTGGATAGAGAGCAGACAGACTGGGCCCATAGGCAAATAGTAGTTTATCGAGGTAAAATGGGATGAGGTGTTTAACTTTAATTGGGCATATTAATTAGGGCAGCCAAAGGGGGGTTTTTGATTGCTGGACTTCAATACTTTGATAGCTGGACCTTTATAGTCAGCCTCAGGAGGAAGAAGTGGCCAACTGAAGGAATGGACCTTGGAGTCTAACTTTAGGGATGTAATCTAATGGTTTTTAGCAAGGCAGAAGGGAGAAGGGCAAGTCGCCACAGCCATGTTTGCCATGTCCCGGCAGGCTAGATTCTAGAGTAGTTTCAAATACAACACAGTTCAGTCTTAAGTAGAGGCCTCTTTGAATTGTATGTTCGGTTATTTGCTAATTTCTTCCTTTCTCTGTTGATACATATCTAAAGACATATGTAAACCCCTGAATTGCTCGCATTTTACTGGGTTGTTTTCATATTCTTGAATGTTTTATAAAACCACAGAAAATCATATCCTACTTTCTTACACATCATATTTCATTCCAAGTCTAAAATGTGTAAGTACTTGCTGGATGCGAATACAAACCAACTTCCAGGGACACGTGTCTGCAAAGTGGGTCCCACTTGTACAGACTGTAAACAGTATGGCTACAGCATTTAATGTAAGAACCCTAGGGAGAATTTTTTTAATTCTTTGCAGGGCTAAATATAGGTATTTAAGCAAAACACGGCAAGTGTGCAACTGTATAAGCATGTTAAATCACTCAAATTATGTGCTTTTCTATGTGTGCTCATTAAGAGTCATTCTGTCTTTGAAACCCACTGCCTGCTTATGTCAGAAATCTCTGCTCTTAAACTACTCTGTTTTCGCAACAAGCTTATGGTAGGTCTTTTGTTTTCATAATATGACAATGTGTCCAGGATATTTTACGCCTTTCTGTATATGCTTGTTTCTTTCCAGCGTTCTTTAGGAGAAGAAAGACTTTAGCAGAAGCAGGCAGACTGCTCTTGGGCATTCCTTCCCTTTAGAAATACAAGTTTCTCTGATGTAAAAACAGACTGGAATAAAAATGGGCTCACTAGTGTCTTCCGCAGAGAGCTGTCTGGCTATAAAACAGGAGCACTCATTTCAGACAAGCTGTTCTGTGAAGTTTTATTTAGTCCAGAGCCGGTCTCCAGATTTGTGGGTGTGACCTCCCTTCTAGCTACCAGGGTGTTTTCCACCTTATCATTGCTGCTACTGCTTCTTTCTGGGCTGTCAGTTGTAGCAATTAGAAGCAGCCCTTTGCAAAAACAAGATGTTCCCCAAATAGATGGAGCAGTTGGCCAGACAGAAAAGAGATGCAGTATCAATAAAAGTAGGTCTGTTCTCTTGTGTGTTGCTTGCTCTAATGTAATCTCACTTGTGTAAAACACTGGGCAGGGAATGAAAACATAGCTTCTGTGTGTCCTAACATAATGTACCATTCTACTAAGGAGAGGAACTGCTTCGGAACTGTAAATGTTTCACTCTTATTCAGATTAAGGCATGTAAGTAAAGAAAGGTGTTAGGTATTTTGTCCACTTCTAATTCCAAAGAGAAAGCTGGGTTCTGTAAGTCAACAGCTACTCTAATCAACTAAAGCCAGCACATGGTTCTGGTACCAAGTTCCCAGCATGACTTGCACAGGATGTGGGGGTCTCACTGTGGTAGCTTTTCCTCCTTTTGCTTCCACTAAAACCAAAATGTAGGTTGACGGGTTATTTACTCTCCGGACAGGAATATCTTTCCCACTTCCTGAGGTTATCAAGGAAGACCAAAGTGCAGCAGAGACTCACTCCTCCAGTCTGTTTGCCAAGCAAAGATGAAGGATGCTCCCTTTGGAGGAGTCCTGAGGGAGAGCCTGGCCCAGCTACTCAGCCTCCCACTGCTATTCCCAGAGAGCTGGACTCTGCAAAGGGCTCCATCCTGAGAGGGATGCATAAAAGTGAAGTCTCTGCTCCCCCTCACAGTGCCCTGCCTCTTCTTACAGGACACCAAGATCCAATATCCCGGGATCTGTTGTTCACGGGTATTGCTTGATTTAACTCTGAGCACTCTCAATAGACGGGAAACGCAGCCCCTTTGTTGTATAATGCCTTCTTTCTACACTCACAATTCCATTTCTTTTTAAAAAATATTTTATGCATACTATGTATCCTGATTATATCCACCTTCTAGTCACCGTTCCATACAAACCCTCCTACGTCCCATCACATTTCCCTCCAGGTTCCTCCTCCTCTTCCTCTTCTTTTAAACTCACTGACTCCAACTCATACACATGGATATATGGTTGTTTACTGGAACATGGGAAGTCTATCATGGTCACACCCCTGAAGAGCAGTGACTTTCTCTCCCCTAGCAGCCCCCAACTGCCAATAGTTCCTCAGCTAAGGGTGGAGCATAAATGCACATTTGATTTTTTTACATGTGTGTTATCTCTTACTGTTGAATAAATTGTCTTTACTTCTAAGCCTTATTTCATAAGATAGTTAACTAAATTTTACCAAATCATACTTTATCAGTTCTTCCCTGCTTCCTCCACTTAAAATTATAGAGCAGAATTTTTAATTTGGGTTCATGGATAGAGCAAAAGTTGTATGTATGTCTCCAAACACATACAGTTCTGACAAATAGGTCCCGTGTGTAAGGAGGATTGAGATAGAAATACATCAGGAAATGATGGGGCTTAGAAGGAACTAAGCATCAGTGAATTAGAGAAATGGAGAGGGTTTTACCAGCAGGAGTGTAGGCCCTTTGTGTGAAGCTGTTTGTCATGTAAGGTTTACAGTAGGGACTTGGGAATGGGGTGTAGCGTAAGCAGTAGAGTGACTGCCTAGGTAGACAAGGCTCTGTCCATGTCAACACCAGACAGAGGAAAACAAAGCACTATCCTGTCCTTATGTTCCTTTAAAATGGCAGTTGAGATGAGCTTCCTGGGACATGCGTGCCATTCACGGTTGCTAAGGTCTGTTTCACCCTCTGCAGTCACCAGCCACTTTGATCGTCTAATTATTATATACTGTATTGCCGTGAATAAAATGATATTTGTCATTTGATAGCAATGATATATAACACACCTTTAATTCACTTTTAACTACTTTCCCCCTTAATCACACCATCAATTATTCATATGGAGATATCCACAGGAGCTAAACTGGGACTCAGTTTTCAGTGCTAAACCTATCTTTTTCCTCCGTTGCAGGCTGGCTTCACGAGCTGGGAAAGAGACTGGAGTCTCCGTACTATGGCAACAACACGCTGGGGGGCCCGTCCATCCGAAGTGCCTACATTGCTGCCCTGTACTTCACACTCAGCAGCCTCACCAGTGTTGGGTTTGGGAATGTGTCTGCTAACACGGACGCAGAGAAGATCTTCTCCATCTGCACTATGCTGATTGGAGGTAAGGAGCCTTCTTCCGGAGCAGGAAAGGAAGCTGAGTCCCCAGATGCGCCCCTGCTCTGCATAGGTCTGAAACACAATAGTGAAACATTGCTTGATACTGGAATAGAATCCAACTAACCTAACTAGTTAGGAAATAAGTGACAGGCACTTTAATGCACACATAAATTAACAGAGACCACGGTAACTAACCTAACTAGTTAAGAAATAAGCGAGACACATAAATTAACAGACACCATGGTAGTATTAATGAGTCTACCTTCTTCTGGTCAGGGAAAAGGCTAACTTGGGGAAGGCAAATGTTTCCTAAAGCATCATTTGTCACATGGGAATTCCCAGAATCTGAATTGTAGGTATATGCTAGAAACTGCCACCAAAGTTGGTGTTACCGAATTTTACTCATACAAGCATGGTGAGCTATGGATGCTTAATATATTGTTGTTAAAAAATATAAAAACTTCAAGGAGCAAGTAATATGCACCTTTTCTTCATTTTGAATTTCCATGCTGAATTCTTTGGTGCAATACTTGGGTAATTCTTGGGGTAGGTCTGTGGGGTTGGCATTATTCCATTTAATCAAATTATATCGCACACACACCACTTTTCACAAGCCCTAGATTCACTCTTAGACATTCTGCTTTCTACTTTAACAGCGAACTTCAGTTCTGCCGGCAGGGGGCACCAGCGAGACATTGGTAGGCAGGAAGAGGGTCAAGGTTCTGCCTGCTCCTGGGGTTCTGGCTTTCCTCCCCCAACATGGGCAGTAGCCTTCAGCTTCCAGTCTCCAGACATTCCTCAGAGATCTCTGCATTCCAGGGCTGCCACCATGCCTCAAGTCACAGTTACAGCTCCCTATGCCTCTTTACCCAGTGTGTCCAGCTGGAGCTCCTGTGACCGCCACACTCCAGCGTTGTCACTTCAGTCCTGTGCCACTAGTAACCAACTCTTTTGTAGCAAGCCCCACTGAAGTTTTAGCAGAGTTTGTCTTTTTTGAACCTCCCGAGTTGGCATTACTGTCATTGATCTTTCAAATGACTAATCTAAAACTTTGAGAATTAAAGTAACTTTACAAATTTCATAACCAGTAAGTAATAGGGGGCTCCATTTAAACCAACTTGAATATTTCTGTGTATCAATGCACAAAGGGAAACTTTACAGAACAAGATACTGCTGGTAAGAAGCAGATTCAGAGCTTCACTTCCAGCTGGGTGAAGTAAACATTCTTAGACCGACTTTGTCAGTCCCAAACATCAGTTAGTGTCACAAGGGACAAGATGCAGGAAGTGTGCAACACTTCATCCACACAGTGAAACCAGCGTCTTAACACAAGCCTCCTTGGGGAGCTTATGGCCCTGCTTACAGAGGAAGATGGAATTTGAGAAGAGAGTTTTTAACAGCATCAGGCAGGGAATGCTTGGTGCCAAATCAGTGAGGAAGCAGAGAAGCAATAGAACGAGGGCCAACATCTGCAGGCTTCCTTGGAAAGCACTGCTGGAGCGGCATGCTGGGACTACAGCAGTTTTAAGAGGCTCCTGGCTGATGCCAAGTGCTAACAGCCTAGAGAGCAGAGAAGAACTCTCGTTTCTAAAGAGCTACAACTTTGCCAGAAACCATGGTGGCTGCTTCACATCCACTGTTATGACTTACATAATTCTACTCTCCTCGATGGCCCATTTTTTTCTGCCTGACAAAACGAGAAGCATTTTGCAAGTAAGCACAGTCTACACTTTTTGAATGGTGCCCATGCTTCTTCTTCCCCTGATGGAAATGTTGGGAAACGCTCAACACTAAAGCCTACTAATTTGTCCACATGAGAAATCTATGAGGCAACTGGGCATACTGTTTTGGTCAGTCTGCCATACTGAGTGATCCTCGACCAGACGTTGTCAAGTTATAATCTATTCCCTGCTTCTCACTGAACACAGGGGCTGTACTGGTCACAAACCCAAAATAAAGGTATATAGTTTGATAATGTCATTTTGTTAACTCTTTGTTAAATATATTTTGATCAAATTTCCTGATGCAAAAGAAGTATGTTGGCATTGGAACTGGAGATGACCTAACGTCATGTGAAAACAGCAGACCACTCTCATTCTAAATGACCTAAGTGGGTGGGCTTTTCTTTTGCATTTGTGGGAATAACTTTATAGCATTATGAGAATTACCCTGGATTAAAAGAAATGATGTCCAAATTATATTATCTCCTAATTAGCAAATTACTTACACATATTGAGAACTAATTATAAAAACTCACAACACAGAGCACTTTATTCATGTAATTCTCATAGCACTATGAAACAGATATTATTAATAGCCTAAGTTAGAGTAAAGGCCACAAAAGAATAAATATGAATGCCAAGAATCACTAAGACTTGACAGTTTTTCAGTGAAATATCAATTGCATCATATTCTAGAAATTAGCGTTATTTACTTAAGTTTTATAAATATATGCAAATGATGTATTTTTAAAAGAACAAAAGGTAAGCTTAAAATCTAAAGTGTGTATTACTATAGACTTAAACTTAGGTTATTGTCCCAGAAATCTCTAATCCCACACAAAGCCGCTGAAGCTGGTAACAGTAGAAATAGTCACCATCACAGTAGGCAGCAGAAGTGTTATGTCAAAGGGAACAGCAAACCCCAGATGACTGCTTAAGACAGAGCTATGCCATGCTGAGTGAAGGCAAACCAGCTTAGGAAGATGCAAAACTCCTTGATCCAAAATCTCCTCTGGAGTTTCCCATGTTTTACAATTTGCCCATGAATAAAATTACATTTTAAGTGACTGGAGAAATGGCCCAGCTCTTAAGAGCACCTGCTGTTCTTGTAAAGGACCTATCTTTAACTCCAGTTCTAGAGGATACAATGACTTCTTCTGACCTCTGTGGGTACCAGGCATCCATATGATGCCCAGATATGCACAAGAGCAAAGCATACATATAAAAGTAAAAATAAATAGATCTAAAAAAGTCCCCATGTTGATATCCACATATATATTGAATATAAATACCTATAATTAAGGAATGTATAAGTAATATATAGGAAGAATATTTTAAAGTGCCTAGTAAAGAAATTAAGCAAAATAATTTCAAATTTTGTACCAAGAGAAACCTACAAAAACCTTCAAAAATCCATTAAGTAAGTAATTCAAAAGGTTCAGTAGCACTTGTGAGAAATTTTACAAATGGTTTGAGATTGTTGAAGGGCATACAAAGTGACAAGTTCAATGTTGCAGTGATAACTGTTTTACCCAGTTAACGTTCCCATGTGACCTCTATAACAAAAGTCAAAGCGGCTGTGTATCTGTGTGCAAGTGTGTCTTTGAATGGACAGGTGTTTATAAAAAGCAGTGGGAATCAGAGCTGAAACTAGTCAAAGCAATGCATGAATAGACACAGAAGCAGAAGATATGCATTCCAAGTACCAATGTGTATTGGGATGTTGTAGCCACTAAGAAAATACGATGTGGGGTGAAGAGCAGACCAGTGAGCTGATGACATTGAAGGGAATTTAGAATAAGGCACACATCTTTTTTTGCTTTTTTTAAATCTAAATTTAGAAACAAGCTTGTTTTACATGTCAATCCCAGTTCCCTCTCCCTCCCCTCCTCCCCTGCCCCTCACCAACCCCCCTCATCCCATCCCCTTTCTGCTCTCCAGGGAGGGTGAGGCCTTCCATGGGGGATCTTCAAAGTCTGTCATATCATTTGGAGCAGGGCCTAGACCCTCCCCAGTGTGTCTAGGCTGACAGAGTATTCCTCTATGTGGAGTGGGCTCCCAAAGTCTATTCGTGTACTAGGGATAAATACTGATCCACTACCAGAGGCCCAGTAGATTAACCAGACCTCCAAACTGACTATGCCATCCTGATATATTTTCTTAAAAAGTATGCAAATACATATGGGAAAACTAAAACATTTGAAAAACTGTTTTCAATATTTGGATAAACAATAGGTTTATAAAGACACTGCTCAGAAGCAGACACAATACTTCCCTCAAGAGAACTGCACACTTGCAAACACTGAAGTCCTCTGTGCTTTGAGAGATAATCCATGTCTCAGCCTTCCTGTGCTGTGTTAGTGGGTATTTCCATCTAGTCGGCAACACTGTTATAAACGTCCATCAAATCTTAATACACCTGCGTTCGGTGACCCAATGATTCCCCTTCATGTATGTAGCCAGTAGAAGTGTGTGGGGGGGTGTGTGCATGGGTGTCTAAGCATGCGGTGTGTGTGTGTGTGAATGTGTAGAAGTGTGAGGAGTGTATATATGGGTGTCTAAGCATGCATTGTGTGCATGTGTGGGTGGGTGGCTGCACATCCTTTACGTCTTGGTTTCTTAGTTTTGAATACATAGTCCTCAGTTCCACTACTTCAGGTCGATGAGTCAGAACATCAGGGTGCCAAGATCCTGTGGAGGAGGGAAAGGAGGGGAGGGAAGGAGGGAGGGAGGGAGGGAGGGAGGGAGGGAGGGAGGGAGGGAGGGAGAGATTCATAGAAGGAGGGGGGAAGGTGAGAAGATGAAGGTGAAGGGAGGGAGGGAGGCAGGGAGACTACCTGTGGAAGAGCTATTTTCAGACTCTCTAGCAGAGGATGCCAGGCAGATAGAAAAATGCCATTAACAGAACAAACAAGGAACTTATGAGACAGTTATATCACTGAGAACTACACCAGAATGAAGGTGAACTATCCTGCAAAGGTATGGATGAATGACAACTCAATGCTGAGCAGAGAAACTAGACTCATAAAGAGTACACCCTGTATGATTTTGTATAAAGTTCAAAAGTGGATCAGTTTATTGGTTACAATGTGATTTGTGAGTGTAGCTACCTTTGGTGAGGAGGGCGGTTGGTGGCCCTGTCCATACTGGTGGTGACTTTGGGAAATCTCATTGATTCATGCATTCAGCGTTTTGTGTGTGTGTGTGTGTGTGTGTGTGTGTGTGTGTGTGTGTGTGTGTGTGTGGGTGTGTGGGTGTGTGGGTGTGTGTGTGTGTGTGTGTGTGTGTGTGTCTGGGGACCAGAGTCAAGTTCTTATTTTTCATATAAGGTTGTTTTTAGTTTGTGTTAACAGAGAAGATCCAAGTAATTGGAGAAAGCTATATTGTCTAACATGGAGATGGTAACCACAAGGACCTAATGTTTTGAAAGGCTGCCATTGGGAATGAATTTTCTGAAGCAGTCAAGAGACCTGCAACCTGGTTTCTTTAGAGCTTGTTTCTATTGTTTTTTATTGTTACACACATTTAGAAAAACAGATAGATACACAAAAATTTAAAATTATGCATAATCAAAATGTTTTATATATATTTTCTCTGAAATAATTAATAAGCTAAATACATTATTGTTGACACTAAATAGTATATAAAGATGCTTTTTCCATATCTTTGAAAATCTTTCTTTAAATCTTAGTACTAACCGCCTGGAGTTAACTGGTGATAAGTTTGCTGCAATTGATTGGTTGGTCAGCTCAGCCTTGATGGCCAGATAAAGCTTCCTGGTGCAGATGGCTGGCCACTGAAATGTGTCTAGTTCCAATGCAGCGTTATTTTCACACTTTCTCTGGGTCCACCAACTCAACACTCCCTGGTATGATTTTATTGAACCTACGTGTAATTCCTTAAGTTCAGGCCATTCTTAAGATGTCTTTGAAACATTTAAATTTAACCTTTAAGAAATCCTCCTTATTTTGTTTTCTCTGCCTTCTGACATTCACAGGCCAGTATTAACCCAGGATGGTGAATAGAGAATGGAAAATTCCAGGTCGAGGAGGTGGAGGGAGGGAAGACAGGAAACAATGGGGCTATCTGAAAGTTGAGCTCTGATCTCCTTTCCTATCAAAAGAAAAGAGCTGCAGCCACAATAGAATGGCTGTCAAACACGTTGGCAGTAACATGGTGCATGGGAAAACAATGGTGCCCGTGTTCAAGGAGGGAGCGAGAATGGTGCAAGAGAGAGGAGAAGAGAGCAAAGACAGCAACCAGTGCCAGGCTGTGGCTCGTTTTCTTTTCCTCCAAGACCCGTTCACGTTTCCCTATACCACAATTGAGAAGATTCTTTCAAAGACCTGACACTGAGATAAAACTGTACAGAGTTCATTTTTTTGCCAAACTCCCACACAAAGGAAAAGAGCCTCCAACATGCTCAGCAGGTCTAGCACTCAAGAATTATATATATCAAGTTTTCTGAGAGAGAGGGAAAGTGTGCGATGGTTTCCAAACTGACCTGGAAACAGAAGTTTTTGAGTCAAACTTTCACAGCAGATGGGATGGTTTTGCCTGAAAGCAACACATATACTTTCTGCCAAGTCAGAATGACAGAATGAACATCAGTGTCCAAAAAGGCCATAATAACTTAGGAAAATTTAAAAAAAACTACAAGAACCAGGGTCTTATTTTCTGTCTTCTTAATCTAGAAGTGGTTTTCTATGTAGAAATGAGACTTTGAAACTGTGGTGACTCAGACAGACAAGATTCTGCCAACAATACTTATGAATGCTACAATTAATCCGGTAATTTATTTTATTGATAATGTACAATTAGGATGCTAAATGGTCTGAATGCATTACTTCTTTCAGTTTAAGTGCTTTGCACATTATAATTAAGCAAAGCAAAGTAAAATCATACTGACAATTAAGAAGCACAGTGTTAAAATGAATGAAATAGGCTTATTCTCTGCACTCGATTTATTCTCTGGAAGAAGACTATTACATACAGTTAAAGATGGCAGAGTAACCAAGCCTTGCCCATAAGCTTATTAGCAGGGCCTGAAATCTGTGTCTAATTTCTTTGACTTGGAGCATAATCAGTTCTTTTCTTCAGTGATTTTTTTTGCAAGTAGAGATCTTTTCTTCCCAGTGAAATATTTAAGCCTCAAAAACTATTGTGCTTGTAAAGTCACGCAGAATAAACTCTTACAATCCACAAAGCTATGCACCGTAAAGTTCTAAGGACTATCCGTTCTCCTTTACCTATTTTTGGACATTTGGGAAGCACTCTGCATATGTATTCTCATGTGTGCCTGCATGCAGATGGCATTAGCTGAATATTTTTTAATTCTTTCATCAAGACATGATTTCTACCAAGAGTGGTGTCCCTCCTGAAGAACTACTGGCAAAATCTTAAATCCTTTTCCCCAAATCTTACACCTTGAGTGCACTAACATTTGTAATACCTTGCTCTTGCAAGAGAAAAGTTAACATGAATAGCTGCATATACTAGATACTAGATACACTAGATGCTACATATACTAGATACTCCACACAGACTAGAATACTTCATTTTTTATATCTCAGAACACCCCTACACGTAAGCCTACCTATTTAACATATAAGGGAAATGAGGCTGTGTAAAGACATTTTTAATGGAAAAATATTCACTTTTTAAAATATTTACTTATTGTTATGTGTACATATGTGTATTGTAGTGTGTGTGTCAAGATCAGAAAACTGATTTGTGCAGTTGGTTCTCTCCTTAAACTTTACAAGGGTCAAACATGAGATGAAAGGCTTCCATGGTGAGAAATAGCCATCTCACAAGTCGTACTGTAATTATTTGTCATTTTTAAAGAGATTTAACTTAATACATTCACACAATTAGGAAGAGGAAAGCTGGGATTCAGGTCTAGATTTGTCTTATTCTGCAACTTTTATTCTCTCAGCTGGATTGCTTTGTCTCCTGGTGTGTAGGTTCCAAATTTAACTGTATTCAAGTAACTTTTGCAAAAGACTAAGGTCTTGTCATCAAAATGTGACTTTATAGGCATGGTGGCCCTTATTCTATAAAAAGTGATATATGACTTGCTGCAGAATTTATACATTGGCATTTGGCAATTTCTGGTGACTATGGGGAAAAATGAACTGGGGCTGTCCTGAAATATTCAGGGGGATGGGTTTGTTCATGTGTTCATGTTTACAGTAGATGCAGTTTGGTGCCAAGAAACTTCTACTGCTGTTCCTTCCACGCTGACATTATAGCACCAGGACCATCTGATACGCCCTCACAGTTGAGCTATTATTTTTTATCCCCCTTTAAGGCAAAAACTACTGAAACAGGAGGCTCCATGCTTCTTACCTCTTCTGTGTCCTATTACAGGGAAGATCAGAGATCAAATCTAACGTCACTATGAACTGATCTGCCTGTGAGTATAAGAACCCAGGCTCTCTTCCATCTCCTATTTTCACAGCCCTAGGTAAAACTGAACCTTCTTTAGTCGTCTACTAGTATCTACATGAACCGTTCTCATTCCATTCTGCCAATGACTATGAGATGCAAAATCCTACAGTGTCTTTTCTGTCTTGTTGCCAGCTACTTCCAAAAGTACAAAAACTCTCAGAAGGCAAACTCAGTCCTCTAACTGTGATTCTCTCTAAAATAAACAGCCCTCTCAATCCCTTTCCCATTGGACCCATAGTTCTGGTAAATAGACACTTGTGTCTTGTTAAACTTTAGTTGGACTTTTAGACATCGATTGGCTTATCTTCCAGAATTACCTGTGAAGAGTCTCAGAGAGGAATTGTCTAGATCTGGTTGGTTTTTGAACACATATTAGGAAGATTTGCTAAGCAATGTATGAAGAGGCAGGAGGAACTGAACTCTGTAAAAGTACTGAAATCAAGCAAGCAAGAATCAAGTATGCATTCATTACTCTCTGCTCTTGACTGTGGATGTGATGTGACTAGTAGTTTGAGGTCCCTGCCTTGATTTCCCCATAGTAATGGACTGCAATTTTAAAATTACAGTGAATTCCTTTCTTCCCTAAATTGCTTTTGGACAGGATGTTTTCCTGTAGTAGGAGAAACCAAGCAAAACAAATGTGACAAACCTCACTGAAACAAAGATCCCTGTAGAAGTAGGCGGGCTCACCAGGACAGTGACAGCAACTCTACATCAGGCATCTGTGTTTCAGTGCATTCTTTCCTGTCTCTCATGCACTCAGATTTTAAGCTCTCTCTCTTAAGAATAAAGTGCTTGCAAAGCTTCAGCAAGGATGAGAACTGACTTCTGCTTTCCACTTCTCAGGGAACCTTCTCATTTATAACAGCTGTCTTAATAGTAATGGGAGTATAACATCAGTTTTAATATTATGGCACTGTTTTTATTTACTTACTTACTTTTGTGGTTAATAGACTCAAACCTTGGCTGTGTGTGGTTAACTGAGTGCTATGCTACTGAGCTATGTCCCGAGACCTTCAAGTGATGATTTTGGTCTGTGATACTAAAATTCTAAAAGTAGCTATTATAGTAGACTTCTCTTTTAAGCAGATTTGTTAGTGAAATAAACAATTGCTAACTTTAAACGTATAGTTTGTACTATGAAAATATTGATAAAATTGTATCATAGCTATTAAACTATGTGTAACTACTAAAATAATACATATGGTGATAGAATTAAAAGTTTTCAGATCCACAATGATAGTTAAAAGACTGCATGTGTGTCAAAGAGTCTACTTCATGTGTTATCATTTTCTAATCTATTTTTACTTGGATCAAGCCATGTGAAGGCAAAATGACTGCTTTGATTGAGTGACCTTATGGCATAGTGGCTGTGCCCACATTTTCCTGGCAAAGGAATCATATCAGTATGCCCACATATGCATGCTTTACTCTAAGCCATCTATAAATTGGACTTACATGTAAAGGGGGACTCTGTCTTACTATCCTGTGCTGTGCTGTGCTCTGTAGCCCTGATGCATGCCTTGGTGTTTGGGAATGTGACTGCTATCATACAGAGGATGTACTCCAGATGGAGTCTGTATCACACCAGAACCAAGGACCTAAAGGATTTCATCCGTGTGCATCACCTACCCCAGCAGCTCAAGCAGAGGATGCTGGAGTACTTTCAGACAACCTGGTCAGTCAACAATGGAATAGACTCAAATGAGGTAATGTGCATCTCTTATCTTGACACTTTTAGGCAGAAAGTACATATTGTGAGATAAAAGCACGGTGTTCTAATCAAGCATAAAAGAAGGACACATTTACCAGCATCTTTGCCTCTCTATCTTTGCTATCGTGGACTTTTTTTTCCATCATGGACTTTTAACACACTATCATTTATGCATCATGACTGTAGTTTTCACAATGCCACTCTGGGATGACAGTTTCATAAGAATTCATTACTTTATTCAATTAAGTGAATTTATTTTCATTCTCATTGTGTTGTTTTGGAAGGATTCATTTTTAGGACAGTTTAATTTTGGGTGATTACTCAATGTAAACTTGCTACAATGATCCATAAAGTTTAAAAAAAGAAAAAATAGGCAAACATGCTATCTGTAGAATTTAAGAAACCGCCCCAAACAACCACTATTAAGGAAGTATTACACTGTCACGACTACCTCGACCAGCAAGGAAGACGCGACTCAGGAATCCTTCTCACAAGCAGTTTATTCAGGACCTTGAACAAATCTTCTGACCCCAGGGAGTGCCCGCCCACAGCTTAAAAAGGCCCTTGGGCGGCCAACCCCGGTAAGCCATGTGGCGACAGCAGATAGGTCCACATACGAGGAAGCAAGCCTGATATCCAGCCTTGACCAAATAAGGAGTTGTTTATCACAGAGAGCACTTGCTGTCGGGCTAGCAGAGGCGGAAGCCAGTACCATCTTAAGTGTGCAGCACTTCGCAGCTCTCTACAGTTCCCCCTTTTTTGTTTAAAATGCAACAGGCAAGAGTAGAGGTCTGATCTCTGACATAGACAGGGACATTGTACTGATTTTTGTTTGGCGTCATCCACCCAACAAACATCAGACCCGTCCGATACCCTTTTTTCCAGAGGCGGGACTCTTGGGTACCAACCCGCATGCAATCAGACATGCTCTTCTTTGGGTCATTATTAGCTGACTCAGAGTGCAGTGCTCTGCCTCGCATCCTGAGCGTATTTAATTAGTTTTTAAGGTGGCTAACCATGCCTGTGGGGGACTGTCCTGCTTCAATAGCGGTAAAGGCCTGAATAATCATGGCTGCATTGCGTCTTTGTGTGACTCTAATCTTACATAGAAACCACAAGCAAACCAGGGAGACCAACACCAAGAGACCTGTTAATGCTCCTATACCCGCCCACTCCTTAAGATGGTTCATTGTAGAAGTCAGCCAGGACGATAATCCCGATGCAAAGGAAAGGTCCACTCTGGTGGAATTCACATGGACCACTGCCAGCCTCAACTCCTTCAAAGTATCTTCAAATTTAAGTGACCAATTCTGTAAAAGAAAACTGGACAAATACTTGGACAAATTTGTAGCTTTTGTAAAATTGGCATACTGAACAGGAACACATATAATCCTTGCATTTTCCACTCGCAGCCTCCCGGTGCCAAGATTGCCACTCACTTCTCCTTAATTTGGCAGTTATTTTCCAAGCCTTAATGGCTATCTGATCCACCTGTTCAAACACCTGTCCTGGATATCCTGTCTGCATGTTTGTAAATCTACCTTTTCATTGCTGTCTACATGTTTGCAAATCTACCTTTTCATTGCTGGAAGGGGACACTGTTCATACCATGGGGATCATGACAATCTCAGTCCCATGTAAAATCAAGATCTCTCCCTAACTTTCAAAAATCTTAGATTCTTAGAACGAAGCAGCTCATTCAGAGCCAAAAAATTGGGTGCAACTGAGAAGCGCCCATAGCCAAACTAACAATGTTTTTACTTTCGGTTCGCTGCTAGCCAAACTAACAATGTTTCTTTTAAGCTTCTAATGTTTCTTTTTAGCTTTTACTTTGGGTTCCCTGCTAGCCAAGCTAACAATGTTTTTACTTTTGGTTCGCTGCTCCACGAACCATTTGTCCTGCTCTCTCTTTACCTACAGAGAGGAGCAAACCAACTGCTCTTATCCCAGTCATTTTTTTACCCCGATCTTGTCGTGGTCCTTTTTTTAGTCTAAGATTCTTTGATGGCAGCATCTCGTTGAGTGCCAGAAAAATTGGGTGGGATGTGGAATTACCCATGTTTAAATAACAAGCAGTGAAAAGAAAACCCAAAAAATAAAATTAAATACCACCCAAAGGGCCAAGAAAAAATAATAATACCCTTTGTTTCACTTTTACTCCGTCCGCTTTGACGCAGCTCTACTACTTTCCTTTTTGTCCCGTCCGCTTTGACGCGGCTCCACTTTCATTTTTATCCCGTCCGCTTTGACGCGGCTCTGCTGACCGTTCTCCCCTTCTCTACCGGGTGAGAACAATAATCACGCTCTTTTCGCGGATCCCCGCCTTACCTGGGGACTTACCGGTGCACCCCCTGACTGCTGTGAGTTCTGAATTCCTTTCTTCGTACGAGCGTCCCCGTACGGGCCACCAACTGTCACGACCACCTCGACCTACAAGGAAGACGCGACTCAGGAATCCTTCTCACAAGCAGTTTATTCAGGACCTTGAACAAATCTTCTGACCCCAGGGAGTGCCCGCCCACAGCTTAAAAAGGCCCTTGGGCGGCCAACCCCGGTAAGCCATGTGGCGACAGCAGATAGGCCCACATACGAGGAAGCAAGCCTGATATCCAGCCTTGACCAAATAAGGAGTTGTTTATCACAGAGAGCACTTGCTGTCGGGCTAGCAGAGGCGGAAGCCGGTACCATCTTAAGTGTGCGGCACTTCGCAGCTCTCTACATTACACTAACACATCAACCAATCCAATAACCAAGTAACCAACTGTTCTTTTAGTTAACATACAAAATAATCCATTTTTATCCATATTATATATTTTTGTTGCTTCCCCGACCCATCAAGGAAGAGAATGGGAGTCCCTCCGCTGGTTCTCTTTTGGCCCCCACTAAGCCCTCCACTTTCGTGCCACATGGACTGCACTGTCCTCTTTTCCCTCCTAATCCTCCCTTAAAATCTCTTCTTCCTGATGATCTCTTTCTACATTCATAGCTGCCCCCCCCAACACCTGCAATGGAATTTTATTCAGCCATGAAGAATGATGAAATTATGACATTTTCAGGGCACAAACGGATAGTGAAATAAGCCAGACCCTGGAAGATAAATACCTCATTTTCTCTCATATTTGAAACATAGTAACAAGTATTTTAAGAGTGATAATTTGGCCTCTGCATATGATCATGACACATTAAGGCCAGTGGGTCCAAGTCCCTTTATCTATCCCCAACAGGACTCCCGACAGAAGTGTCACTATCCTTCCTTCCAGGATACTTTAGAGTTTTAAAAAATTTCTTCAGATTTATCATCAGCTGATTACTTAGTGATACATAGCTAAGGTCACAGTCACTCAGAGACTATATGAACTTCCTCTTGTATAGAGCAGCTGACCTGTGTATGAAAAGTGCCACTGGTGTCTTGCAAAGTCATTGACACTTTCCTTTCTCCCTTCCTCTTCCCCGACAGCTTTTGAAAGACTTTCCGGATGAGCTGCGCTCTGACATCACAATGCATCTAAACAAGGAGATCTTACAGCTGTCCCTGTTTGAATGTGCCAGCCGGGGCTGCCTCAGATCTCTGTCTCTCCACATCAAAACGTCGTTCTGTGCTCCGGGGGAGTATCTGCTGCGCCAGGGAGATGCTCTTCAGGCCATCTACTTTGTGTGCTCAGGGTCCATGGAGGTTCTCAAAGACAGCATGGTTTTGGCTATTCTAGGTGGGTTTTCACTGAAAAGTTCCTGGAGAATGAGGAATACAAAGTAGGGAAGAGGAGACAGTAATAGGAGTTGGAAAATTACAGATGTATATATGGACTCCATGTTAGATTCAATATATGTTATATATACCACTATCAGGACTTTTATATAAAAAAGTTCAGGCAGTACTAATATTGTCCTCATTTTACAAGTGAGTAAATGTCCTCTTAGTTAACTGTACCAGATTCCATATATCGTGAAGTCTTTCTGACCTCTAATCATAACCCATACAGTCTCCTGTGGAACAGCAGCTCAGTATTCATGTAGAATTTCTGCATTTTGTGCAGAGCCTGTCCAAAGAACATTTGAATTAAGTTTTTATCTGTGCCAGAAATAGAGAAAATGATTTATTTAACTTTGAGAACAAATTTCATCACTGCCATTAACCTAATATTGCTAGGGTGATACAAGTTTCTTTTAGCTCCTCAAAGAAAACTCATAACTGTGAAAACTCTGTGCCTTGATGCTGACTTCAAATACTAGACATAATTTTCTTTTCATTGGCATATAAAGGGCAGCTGGCAGGAGACGGTATGTGGGCTAATGTTGAAAAAAATCCTCTAATTTTATGAGTTTCTTTTCAAATTCACTCTCATTGTTTATACAGCCAATCCTTACCAAGGATCTGTGAGTGAACTGGACAGGGGTCTGAGCACTAAGAAGGTGGCAGAACAGAAATTACTAGAAAGTTTGCCCATATCTGGATTAAACTCAAGAGAAGGATGAAATGGAAAATTTCCCTGGGGTGTGGTGTGGTTGAGCATCAATGAATCTGCCATGTAATACAGCAATGTCTAAAACCAAGTCAGTAAATGATTAATGCAGTACTTTTTCTCTAAGAAACTGATTGTGGACAGCACCTTGCAAAGTGTTTTAGCCCAGAGTGTAGGCACAGATGTAGAGGCATTTTCTGGTTTTGGATGGGAGGCCACTGCCCCTGCCTAATCTAAAAATACCTGCCACTTTATGTCAGCACTGTCAGTCTGCCACTGAGGTGAGTTTCACGACAGAATACATTTTAAAAGAGAAAGGAACAATTCTTGAACCCTAAATATAAGCCAGTCCCTTTGGTCCATTATCAAGTCTTGGAATCTTCTCAGTTTTGAATGTGTTGTCCAAATTCATCTACTTAAACCCATTCCTTGACAAGGTGGAATAAGGATGTGGGAACCTAAGACATAATTAGAATCTTGTAAAGCAGAAGCCTCAGAGAGCCACCTGCCTGTTTTCTGCCATGATATCGCAATGAAAAGTCAGCAGGTATTACACACTGAAGCCACTAAAGCCTTCCCAGTGAACTTTTCAGTCCAGAAACGTCGGAAATCCATTTCTGTTGCTTATCCTTAGCTGCATTGTGCTACGGCATAACGAACAGACTGTGACAGTGTGACTGCATCAACCAAAGGGGCCTAGCTAGAGACTGAGTGCTAACAGAACCCTGTGGCTCTGGCTTTCACTGCCCATGTGCACTGCAGTTTCACCGATGGAGGAAAGGTGGAGCTTGCCCTTAAAGATTTGATTCAGTTTTTATCAAGCCTCTGTGATGTTCTCCTTGAAGTAAGTGCAGAACACGCTAAAACAGCCCCTTCCAGACAGTCATTCTGCCATTTTGTAGTTCTGGCTTAGAATTGACAATGATTCTAATTTGCTTCCAAACATTATTTAAGTTGTATTTTCCTGCAGGCTTCCCTAGTGCCGCTGAAACTTTTATAGCCTGATGATTTGCCTGTTAACACGGCTGCTTTTGAGAACATCTGGCTATTGTTTCCAGAACCTTATGATGTGACACATGCAAGCAGATATAACACACCATTGAAAAATAATCAGGCTCTCCTTTAATTCTTGTCCATTCTTGCATTCGGTGACCAGTAACAGTTTTAGGAATGGAAGATGAAGGCACCTATGACATTAGAACAAAAAGATGAAAATTGAATGGCTGTTGTGTGACTGCTATGGCTTATAAAACATGATCCAATAGCAACAATTTATAGAATTAAAATTACTTACTGCTGGCTCAATCCAACAATGAGAGATGCACTCTTACCCTGGAATATTGGGGGAGGGTCTAGGCCCTGCCCTGGATGAAATGACAGATTATGGACACCCCCATGGAGGGCCTCACCCTCCCTGGGGAAATGAGGGGATATTAGGGGGTTGGCAGGAGGGCGAGGGAGGAGGGGAGGGAAACAGAGAGGGACCTGTAATTGACATGTGAAGTAACCATGTTTCTTATTTAAATTTAAAAATAAAATATAAAAAAATTACTTACTGCTGAAAGATTTTCTCCATTGATCTCTGCCCCAAATTTCTCCATAAATTGTGATTTTTATGATGGTATTTCTCTGCTCTGCCCCCACCATGAGTTTATGGAAAGTGGTGTGAGTTGTTTTTCCCATGATCATTCTAAACTCTGACGTGATGTCACACACAAGCAAAGGTTCAAATGAACATGACAGTGGGACAATGTAACTCTCTTCACGGAGCTAATTCAGCCTCAACTGATTTCCTAAGCATAGTTACTTAACAGGCGTTCATTCTGCCAATGACATCAATTAGTGGTCTTGTGAGAAAGAAGCTTTTATGCATCAACTCAAGCAACACCGTCTTCCAATCAGCACACGAAAGCATTTTCCAGATCTGCTGCCTGGAGAGAGCTTTCACAGGAATTTGTCAAGAAGGCAGAAAATGGCAATAAGTGATACCCAGTGTTGTGGCAGACAGTGTTTATCTGCTCTGTGTGATTCAATGTTCCTTTTCATTACTGCTGTTGACCCTCAAAGAAACACAAGTTCTGAAAAGATGGAGACTACTCATGGCTGGGGGCTGGGCAATCATTTTCTATCAGAAATAAGGATTCTAAAACCTGGAGTCATTAAGGCAATTAGTTCAGAATCCCAACAAAAGCAGGGAGAATCCACGGGGCAGTGACTAAAGCCAGGAGGCCTAGCCAGAGCTCAGTGTGCAACTCAGCACCATGAACACTCACCAAATCCAAAGAGAAAACTGGAATTCTTTCTAAGGTGCCAAATTTAGCAGCTATAAAAACAAAAGTATAGTGGCCTCATGTTCCCCCAGATGTCCCTGGCAAATAGAATCCTATACATGGCACTGCCCTGATAATCGTAGCCAGGTAGATAAATGCAGAGTCAGTGTACTGCCTACTTCCTGTCTGTGGTACGGCTTATGTCCACCCTCAACTTTTCATTGCTAAGCAACTGTGTAGATTTTTAACAAAATATACACAAAACATAATTTCAAATTTAGCAATATCAGTGACAACAATAAGTCAGGCTTGAATTCTTCCAGAAAATGTGACCAGAAACTAAAAATACAGACTCTAATATGCTTTGTTTTCATCTGCCAAAGTAGATTTAATTTCAAAGTTTAAAATCTAGTACTAATTTTAAACTAATATTTGATATAACTTAATAATTTACCTCCAATATTTTATTCCATGCGCATTCTGAATATATCAAGCATATGTGATTAATTTCATGTTTCCTTGTGGTGATAAATGAAATAGAATGAGCTTTTATGAGTTTCATCTCAGGAATGTTGTCTCAAAACTCCTGGGCACAATAAAATACAACCGTTTAGAAATTAGCTGGAGGAGCCATAGCCGCCATTGTCACTGCCAGAACCCAAGCCAGAGCCAGAGCCAGACTTAGAACTTTGTCTTTTACAAATAACTTGGTACTAGCTGCCAATACCCACAGAGCCTCGGAGCTGCTCTGAGGACCCCGAGAGAGCTACCAAGGCTTTGAGGAACAACTAAAAAAGGCAGGTCTTAATGGGAAGATACCTTTATAAAAGCGGTTTCGTGGATTGTAAAAAAAAAAAAAAAAAGATGGCATAATGGAGGAGCGGGCTCAGCAGACGGAAACAGAACTAGACACGTGGAGTCGGAGACAGGAATGTGCGTGTGGCCATGGTGGAAAAAGAGCAGTCCTTGCTGAGGAGATAGATCCTTGAGTCACCCGGAGGCTCGGGCCACCGCTGGGCCAGCCTCGCCCCTGTCACACACCAGGTCAGCGCTGCTGCTACACCTGAAAACCTGACCTGCAGCACTGAGCCTGCTGAGCCTCCACTGCAGCTGCCGCCCTTGTGCAGCTGTGGGGAGAGTTTGAGTCACCGGGCTGCAAGCATGATGGCCATGCCTGGGGTGGCCTGCACCGAGGGCAGGGTGGCATACCGCTAAGAGCTTGAGCAGATTCATCGCCCAGCCGCAAAATCACCTTGACTCTGAGCAATAAGATATCCCAGATGAAGAATGGTTCATTTTCTGGATTAAGTTTCCTCGGAAGAAGTCCGTGGTCCATACGGCCACTGGGGTCCAAGGTGATGTCTGTGATCCTTGATGCTACTGGAGACCAGGTAGAAACCAAGTGGAGCCAGGCTGTGGTGGCGCTCACCTTTAATCCCAGAACTCAGGAGACAGAGGCAGACGGATCTCTGTGAGTTGGAGACATCCTGGTCTACAAAGCGAGTTCCAGGACAGCCTCCAACACTACAGAGAAACCTTGTCTCGACAAAAACAAAAACAAGGAAAAGAAAAGAAAAAAAAAAAAAACAAAAGAAAAGGAAAGAAAAGAAATGAACCGAAACAAAACCCAGGCGGAAGCTCATGATCCATGTTACCCCGCCTTCTGCAAGCATTTTTTATTTTTTTTGTAGTGGTAGCAATAACTGCAGACTCATAACTGAAAGTGAGACACTGAAGGATTCTGTGACACCCCTCCAAAAAAAACAAAAACAAACAAACAAACAAACAAAAAGCAATCCAGCCAGGAAGATATTGGAGAGTCCTTAAAAATTGTGACAAAGACACTGATGTGTAGTTCTTCACAGTTGATGGCTTCTGGCGCATGAGGTTCGGGATTTGACTCAGTTTTCTTTATGAGCTGACCACAGGGAGTTTTACCATGTTACAAAGATATGGGCAACACCAACTGTGGGTTTTTGATTTGAGGGCTTTTTTGTGGAGGGGGCAGTATAAGGGTGGGAGATGGATCTGGGAGAAATGGGAATCAAGTGTGGTAGGGTACATTGTACAAAATTCCCAAATAATTAATAGCAATAATATATTGGCAAAAATTAGAAATTAAAGAAGTAATTGAATATGGAGGTGGGGCAGTTTACTTGATAACACTTCCCTTTTACAAAGACATTTTTATGTATATGAGTGCTATGTCTGCATGTACTTCTGCATACTTATTATAGATTATTGTGAGCCATCATGTGGTTGCTGGGAATTGAACTCAGGACCTCTAGAAGAGCTGTCAGTGCTCTTAACTGCTGAGCATCAATCCAGTCCCCTTGATAGCATTTCAATGGCATGTCTTCCTTGGTATTGAGGACTGTGCAGCTGTTTGTCTCTGTTGCTTACAACATAGAAAAAAGGCCAATCAGATCATCACAGTTAATCCCTGGGTGTGATGCCCTTTGTAGACAGACTCAGAAACGTGTCTAGAAACCCAAGTTAACACCAGTGTCTGTTCTCTGTGAACATATTCCTGTTCGTCCAGCCTTCAGCCCAAGTTTGTCTAAGAATGAAAGGTTTTTTCATATCTTTTGTGTGGCTTCTGGGTGACTTTGTGGCTATGCCCAAAGTACATCAGAAATTAAATTCAGTGACTTATTGGTGCTTGATGTTATTTCTACTGACACTTCCAACTGCTGAAATCACTTAAAAGATCTAAATGATGCAATTGTCCAATATTAGCTCATCAACAAACAAGCAAGTTAGTTCCCAGAAGACAGCCTAGTTACTGTAGACAACAGAATTGCTGCTAGACATTAAGAAGACTTGGCCTACACTGGTCCCATGAGCAGTCATGTGAGACCCAGATTTTGTCTGTTCACTTCCTGTCTGGGTAGAGAAGGACATTCTTACACAGTCACAGAATATGACAACTGGGAGCTGTACCATGGCCTAAAATGTTCAGCCCTAACCCTTTTCCCTGACTCCGAAGAGGGACAGAGAGCTCCTCCTTCCACTTTACCCTTCTGTCCATCTTGGAAACATGATCACAAGTAAATGAAAGAACCTTAGTCTCTTGAATACCACACTTCTGTTACTACCAAAAGTTCTTGACTCTAGACCGTAGGTTTCTTGATACACTGACCTGAGAAGCTCAGAACCATTTTTCCACCTAGGAAAATCAGTTATTACTACCACCTTGAATGGTTAAAGTTACTGTGACAAATTGACAGGTCTGAAGTCATTTTTAAACCCTGCCAAGAGAGCTGCTTAGAGCCCAATGGATGATCCGTGCTGCCTAAGCCACATCCATGTCCTGTAGATCAGTGCTCACACCAGTGACATTTTTATCCATCACAGGTCATTTGACAATGTCTGAAGCTGTTTTAACATCTTGCATACCATGACAAAAGAGCAACCGAGCCCCAGTTCTCAGTGCTGTTGAAATCAAACACCTGTGCTCACAATGGTCTTCTCTTTCTTGTACAATTTGAGAGAAACAGAGTCTGCGAGACAAAAGACGCAGCTGGGTCCCAGTGGTTACACTTTTCTTCAAAATAATACGGTTCTTTTTCTTTTCACTGCTCCTAGGGAAGGGGGATTTAATTGGAGCAAATCTGTCAATTAAAGACCAAGTGATCAAGACCAATGCTGACGTGAAGGCACTGACCTACTGTGATCTTCAGTGCATCATCCTTAAGGGTCTTTTTGAGGTCCTGGGCCTTTATCCTGAGTATGCACACAAATTCGTGGAAGACATCCAGCACGACCTCACGTACAACCTTCGAGAGGGCCATGAGAGCGACGTAAGTCCCGTTTCTGATTAGCACATGGGACTGGGGATGAGATAGAATAGCAGAGGCAAATGTCATAGCCTCCTTTTAAAGGCTCCACAGGTAAGACATTCAGCCCCTGGCTAACTGATGGGTTCACTAGAACCCATAGTTCCTTGCTAGCAGGCAACCAAAGTATTTATAGGCAGGTTCTCGCTTGCTTGTCTTCGAGTGCTCGTGTCTAGTTGCAGTTTCTGTGATACACAGTGCTCATCTGGAAATAAGTGAATCCCCAGCATTTGACAATTTCAAGAGAAAGTATGTGGGACAGAGTTGCCATGTGCAACTGTTCAGCCCTTCAACTGCGGCACGGAAGATTTGCTAGAAACTAACCTTTTTGTTAAAACGGTACCCCAAACAATCTATCTCGAAGAGACCAGATTTTCATAAATGGATTCAAGCCAAGGGTTGTCACACTCAAAGCATAATGAACATTTTGTGCAATTGTATGTTTGCTTCATGCTTCAGTTCATACAAACAGCTTTCCTGCCAAGATATGTACTGTTCCATGTCTCGTGTTTGAGTTGATCGTGAACATGACTTTGCTAGATGTGTCAGTGATAATGAATTAATGGGGATGATTGTTGAAAGGCAAGTCAGAGCATGCAACTTATTGTGTGACAATCTGTGTCTTATCTCAGATATTTGTAGCACTCGGAGCTTTAAGAAACTTTAGTTATGACTAATCCATATAATATAGACATTTTGGGTGATCATTAGCAATCTCTTTTGAAAATTAGATAGAAAATGGGAATTGCATGTTCTTTCATCTAGGTTTGGGATATAAGTGATGTTAGATAAATATATGATATCCCATCCTCTCTACTGGTGATACAAAACACCAATTGAGGGCCATTATTTACTAGCTACCTCCTATGCTAAGCACTATTCCTATACAAAGCGTTTATTGATTAAGACACACTTTAAGATAAGTATCAACCCAATTCTGTAGCAGAACAGATTCAAAGTGGCTTGTGGTCATGCAATCTTGCAGGTGGCGAGGGCAGCATGTGAGAATGAAACCCAAGTTTAAAGTCTACAGTTGATTAACAAAGGTCCTGCCTTTTCCTGAAAAGCTCCCATGCATGTCATGCAAGAGACTGAATCTTAAAATGTAGTTTGTGTTGTCAATGATAGTATAAAATGACAGTTTTAAAGACTATAATACAATGTTTTGAAATGTGAATACATTATTAAATATATAAATCAAGCTAGTTAACATATGTGATTCTCACATTCATATTCATTCATGACAACATTTAAAATGCTCTCAGCAATAGTCAAGTAGAAAACATGTCATTGTTAATGAAAGTCACCATGCTGAAAAAGAGATGAAATTTTGTGCCCTTGGACCAATATCTCCTACCAGCCTCAAGTAACTGCCACCCTATTATCAGCTTCTATAATTTCTGCTTTCTCCAGATTCCACAAATCATGCAGGATCATGCCAAGCTTATTTCACTAAGCATAACCCCCCTTCCAAGTTTATCAATGTTGTAAATGATAGAACTTCCTTCTTCATTGAGTCAACAGTATTTCAGAGTGCATAGAATGTTTTCTTTATTCCTCTGTCCCTTGATTGACATTCAAGTTGATCCCATATCTTGACTACTGGGAAGAATGTGGCAAAGAGCATGAATATACATATATGTATGTCACATACTGACCTCAGCTCATTTGCATGAATAACCAGTAGTAGAATTGTTGCATCAGTGGTTGCATCTTTAGTATCTGCTGTCTGTTCCTACCTACAAAATGGAGGATCCCCCTTCTAATCTGCACCAATACTCACCTTTCAGCTTTGTGACAGCAGCCATCCCAGCTTCTCTGAGATGATATCCTTGCATTTTATTCTGCAGTTCTTTGATTACTAGTGATGTCCAACTTCTTTTGCACGTCTTCTTAAAAGAATATCTTCACTGCTCTTTGCCCATTTTTAATCAAACTATTTGTCTTCTTGCTGTTGGCTTGTCTGAGTTCCCCATGCATTTTGGATATCAACATCTATCAGATGTATGGTTGGCTGGCATTCTGCAGTTTCTTTCTACTCCATTGGTTGCTTCCTTTGCTATGAACTTTTCAATTTGACATAATTTAGTCTTTCCTAGCTGGCATTGCTGTGTGCTAGAGTCACATTCAAAAGAAAAATTGTTGGCCCAATAACGGTCAGGAAACTTTCATTCAGTGTCATCCCCTAGAGGTTGGGGTATTACATTTAAGTCTCTTATTTTAGTTGACTTTTAGATATGGTGTGACATTAGAATCTAATTTCATCCGATGTATTGTCTGTCGCTTTTCCTTCCTTCTCCTCTCCTCCCCTTTTTTGCCTCACTCTCATTTCATCCTTTTTAAAGCAGTGTCATAACTTTTAAAGGCATGTGTCTCCTGTGGAAGCCTCCGCACATCATTTGCTCTCTGTGGGATAGGCTTCTTCTGGTGATGGGGCGTCAGCACGTCGCCTCTGCCGTATCCACAGTCATCCTGGGCTTGTGAGACTGATCTCTTTCAGTTTGTGTTTAGTCTTGAAGTGTTTCCCTCACTCTTGAAGTGGTTTCTCTGGGCTCTGCTAATACCACAGCATGTTTCAAATTCTTTCCTCCTGGTTTCTACTTGGCTTCAGATTCCAAGTCCTCAGGCCAATGTGACTGTGAAACATGTCACCTCCTCCCAGCCCCTTCTTCCATTTAAGCTTCTTGGTATGCTGTGCCCTGCATATGTCAGTGAGGTGTTGGCTAATACTCCAAGCCTAGCAATGATGCAGTTATCCCTACCCTGGGGCATGTACCCCCAAATCCTCCACAGGATGGTTCCTCTGACCTTCGTCCTTACCCTTGCCCTGTGAAATTGTCCCAGTATAGTTTGCTGTTTCGCCTTGCAAAGCAGCAGTGGACAGCCCCCTTACTCCCTCTGAGAGACACCTGGCTCAGCGTGCTGCTCTTGATGCGTTTCCCTTTTCCCAGAGAGCACTGTTGCTGGAGTCTTAGTACGTTTTGTCCAACGCTGTAGTTCCTTTTGACCACCGTGTGTTTCAATATCATTACGACTGGAACCTAAAGCATTACTTCTTTGTAAAGAGTGCCCCTAGTTCAGAACGGGAGCCTGAGAAGACAAAAGAAGGATGAATGCAGGAACTGTGGAAATCTTAGTGCTGCTCTGGGCCTAGGAGAGCAGCTGTCCCTCCCTGCTACTTGGTGACAGATACCCAGAGACTGAGGGAAAATACAACAAAGAGATGACCTTTGTAAAACATCACCAATGGTGTTTTGAAAGAGCCTAAAAGAAAGGTAAACACTGAACACTAAACAAAATTAAGTTAATCTAGCCTACATGTTTATCTAAAAAATAGGAAGGTGCATATCAAGTGAAGCTTTCTGTTGAGATTTTATTATTCTGGGTTACTTGGCTTTCAAATGTTTTTTACAAACACATATACACCACAACACACACAAAAACACACACAGACTACAATACACACACACACACACACACACACACACACACACACACACACCACACCACACCACACCACACGACACCACATAAATATCTCCAAAACCTTGGAATACAGTTCCATGGCTGGTAAGTTTGGACTGCTTGTCTGTGTAATCTGTAGCCCGTGGGGGGCTTCCTACTGCTCCAGCATTCTTTGACTTTCAGGAAAAGTTACAAACTGATGCCAGCCTGTGCTGAAGGGTTCCTGCTGCTCTATCTACTGAGCCACTCTGCTGTCAGCAAATTTGGATTCAAACACCATTCCTGAAGTCCCACACAGGCACACAGAAACACCAACCACAAAGGCTCTCTGATAGAACAATGGTTATGAAAGATGAAACACTTCTGTAACAGATGTGTAAACGGTGTAAATGTAACTACATGAATTCACTTACTCTGGCCTGGGCGGTGGTGGTGCACAACTTTAATCCCAGCACTCGGGAGGCAGAGGCAGGCAGATCTTTGTGAGTTCGAGGCCAGGCTGGTCCGACAGCCTCCAAAACAATACAGAGAAACCCTGTCTCATAAAAAAAAATTCACTTACTCTGAAAACTTGAGTGGCTACTGGTACAAAGTAGCTCATAGACTATCAGACTGCAGAGTTCTCATTACATAGTGGGTGAAACTGTCTAAGTGTAGACAATAAAAACAAAATAACAAAAGCAAGACTGACAGCAGCCCATTTCCAAACAGAACAGGAGCAGGAAGGATCGGTGTGCATTTAGAAAGGGCCCATGGAGCTCTGGGATTGGGGCTCCTGCAGCTCCACTAAACTGCACAGCTTGAGAAGGCCATCTTACCTCATTCTCATAGGAAAATTAAAGTTCATAAGATACTTGGTAAATTAGTTGAAAGATTAGCTATTGCTGTTTTGACCTTGTGCTAATTATGTGGCTCACGCTATTGGCATATGTTCTGTACGTGCCCCAATTCACAGCTCCAGGAGGCCACAGTGATGTGAATTTAGTAATTTCTGGCCATGCAGATTCTGATTAGTTTGCTTCTGTTTGTTATGGTAAGCTTTATAAATTGATTTAACACAAATTCACCTGTTTTTGAGAAATCTAGTTTTCCTTCATATAAAGAGATTTTAATTTTTTTGAGATAAGCAAAGAAAACTATTGGCGAGCATCCAAAATAACTGTTTTCAAAAATGAAGAAGGATAAAACTCAGACATCCATGTAACTACACATAAATATTGTATTGCTGTGCACTGTGGGTGTTGATTTGTTACCGATGGGGTGATGGATGTGCAGCAATAAATGCCAACCATTTTGGGGGAAAGTCTAACTCTGTCATACTGGGGTCTCTGACTGGAACTTATTAAAGTTGTAAATGTGCTCATCATCTCATCCCTACCTCAGTTTCCACTCATAATACTTTATCTGAGGAACCTGAAATGCTAAGCCGCCTCATTCTGTCTCCCCACATTTTTAGCCAAAAGGGGAAGATGTCCTGTGATTTAGTGACTTCCAGTCAT